GTCTAGCACGATGACTAGATGCAAAGCTTCACGCTTTTTCATAGTTGCTTATCTATCCTCCCTACCTTGTAACAGAAGTGTCAATTTATTCTACTACACTACAGCTCTGGATGATTGTGCTTTGTAAGAGGATTTCTTACAAATAAAGAATTATTAGGTGTCTTTTTTTTTTCTTTCTTTCTTGATACCATCTCGAACGTCCAATTTTAGGTTTATAATGAGTTAGACAGGAGTTGAGAGATGTAGCTGTATAAACAAATTTATAATCCTACCATGACTGTAGCCAATGGTCATTAGGAAGAAGTGGAACTACATTGATGAACATAATGCATAGGAGTCAATGGTAGATAAAGCTGGGAGACAGGACAGAAGATTTTAAATCTTTATTCAAGGCTTGTGCATACACTTTGTTCTCTGTTTTACAGGGAGAAAGTGAAGGAATTCAGATGTTGGTTAAACCTAGACTATAGGCAGATAAAAAGCAGTTCTAATTTTGACTCTCCAAAATGGACCATTTATATCAGCACATAAATAAATGTGCATACCTGAATTAATGATGCTTTAATGTAATCCTGCTTTCTTTGTTCTCTTTTAAAGTCTTTGTTTCATTTCAGGTTTAAAGCCACCCCCAAGTGAAGGAGGGGGAGCCCTCACTGAGGCTCCTTAGCAGCAAGCAACTCCTGGACAAGAAAGAGATCTTAGCCGGCCTCTAACCACCAGCTGAAAGGGGTCTTGACAGCCTGTTACTGCAGGCAAGCTTAACAGCCACAAACAGCAAATCCTGTGTTTGAAAAAAAAGGACAAGCTAGGTACTTACATCTAGGATATGGTTTTGGGTGGAAAAGTCATCTCACCTGAGGTTTCACATGTAAGCTTGTAAGAATCATGGAAAAGGGGAATTTTAAACACAAACTTTTCTCAGTTGCTTAACTTAGGCTCTACCATTTCAGCTTGCTGGCTGTTGTGAACTCTATTCCTGTAATACAATGATCCTTGTGAACTAATAAACCATGAACTTCAGCATCTATGTTCAGATTCCTCTCCTGGTTCTGGCACTTTAAACTTAGCCATATCTACACTGACTGCCTTTGTGTGAATCTAGTCCTTCTATGTAAGTAAACTGGAGCCATAAAATTATGCAAGTTGTTTAGTCTCTCCAGCATGCACCAAAGGGGCTATAATCTATTTAGCTAAGTGATGAAGGGAAGAGTTCAGCAGCCAGCCATTTCTATTTGGATTTAAAAAAAAAAAAAAAGGTTTATTTAATCTTTAAAACTCAAGGAACTTAAAGACATTAATTAAATATTATTAAATATTTTAAACTCTCTGTAAGGATATATATTATAATGTTTGTAATGAAAACCTGTATTCACAAATTTGGATTTTGCAGTCTGAACCTTGAAAGTTTAATTAGGGGCTTGCTAAATTCTGTTTCTGGTAATAAAGCGTGGATTTTATTTCAAAAATCCTGTTTTCTGGAAAAAGAAAGCACTAATAAAAAGTAATTTCACTGGGCAAATCATCAATCTCATTCATCTCATTGTGTCCAATAAGATGGAAATGATTACACAAGGTTGTTAAAATCCTTGCTCCCTGAAAGTCGAGTTTTATTCTTATTTTCTCTGAGTTAGGATTTGATCCCAGTAGTGTAGGGATCGGTTTATATTAATGAATTACGATAGTGATTTGAATTTGATAAAGTTCTATGGGATTACCATTTGATTGTTTAATTCACTGAGGTATCACTGCCGGCCAAAACTCCTCTTTGCCTCTTCCCATATTCTTTCTCATGTTCGGATATGTGCTATGAAAACAGACAAAGCTATTTCTGGCAACTACACAAGCTATGCAAGAAAAGAGTTCTGTATCACTTCCATTTAAAAACTTCCCCTTTCGTACCCATTCTGCACAAGCTACGGGAGTCAATTGTCAAGGTAACTCAAATCTCCCCAGATCAATGGAGTCCCTTATTGGGGCCTCTCCAGCACAGAAGTTTCCTGACCCATCTTTTTGCCCTTCCTTGGAGGTCTGTAACAATTTCCCATAAATGTTTTACTACTTGTCTTAGCTACATTCTGTGTTTGTCACATTAGCTAACCCACATATGTAATTTTACTCAAAATACCACAACCTCTAACTAGATCGCCACATCATCTTCTGAATTTGTCTCTTTGGTAAATTGTATACTCTGATATTTTAATATTAAACCATTTAACTAAGAGCCATTCATGTTTCTACCTTAAATGTTTACTGTTCTGTTCTGAAGCATCACTTCATGTTCCTCACATTTTTACACAGATTCTCTTCATAAAAGAAAGAGAATTTCCTTTCTCTAGGCAATGCTTTCTTTCTGTATTATTCACTTCAACAACTTAAAAAATTACTTATCCTTTAAAAGTTGGCTAATCTCTCTCCCATCTTTCACTACCTATCCTTTTGCTAAAACAACACACATAAAACTGAATACTAAAATTACAAGACTACTTCCCTGCTAATTTCTTATACAGATACGGCCTGTCAGTTCTAGATGACTCTGGATCAGCCCCAAACAAAAGAAAATATTCTGGGTAGTATAATCCTGCATGGAACAATGCGATCTGTATAAAAAATCACTTATTGAATCACCAGCACCTCTTTCCACTCCTAGGAGATCTCCCATTGAAGCAATGCCTGAATTAGTGTAGAGTGATTTGTGGCTTTCCAGCTGTCATTCATTAATTCTTAGGAAATACAATATACAATACAATAGTACTCAGCCTGAGGTTGCAGTCTGCAATGTCTTAGGAAGAGTGCAATTTGCCTGCTGAATGTTTTTTAAAATTGTTTTCAAACAATAACTGTAGCCCATTATTTCTATAACCCCTCAAACACATTACCCTCCTGATGAAATATTGTGTTGGTCGCACAGACCCATTAAGGAAGAAGGGTAAGGAATTGCATCTGTGGAGAGTCTGGTCTATGAAACGAACTGCTGAGCTGAAGACAAGGGGTTTTACTCCAGTACTTTGCCATTCGTGTTTCTTGGGCAGAGAGGAAAGCACAGGCAAGCCTGACAGCAGGGGCTAGAAGTGACCTGGGCACTCTGATCCACTGACTTTGGCACTTTACCATCCAGCTGACCTGTGAAAGTTGCCTTGTTTTAGAAATAGTATTGCTTAGCTGTAATGCACCGCTAGCTGCCTCGTTTGTTTGACCAGAGACAGGAGAGGATGTTGTGACGTACCAGCCCCGTTTGAGGATCCAAGAGCCTGGGGACCTACCTTTAGAGCGAGCCAAGGAGCTGCTTGCACAAAGCCAGTCAGAGAGACTGTGTAATGCCTGCTTCATCAAGAACTTCTGGCAAAATCTATGACAAGTTCAGCTCAGCCAAAAACACCACACCTTTAGACATGCACTGTAGCAGAACTTGAGCAGCACATAGGGAAGTTTTCTGATGGGTTTTAGGCACCCCTGGCTTCCCAGAAATCTGAGAGAGCTGCATAGGGATATTTTTTTTTAAGTCTATTGCTCTCTTGAATTTACATGTTCATTAGCCTGAACCATACATTAGGTACCTAAGAGCTTTTTTCCCCTTTAACTCCTACACAGTTGATTTAAGAAGTAAATAAAAAGATAGGAGCAGGAGGTAAACCTGAAACAAGAATCACTTACAACAAATACTGGGGTTAACAAAGCATAGCCATCGTTCGGTGTTTAGTAGGCACCATGACAGCAATTATTTTAAGGAAGGATTTGAAAAACAATGCTTCAAGTATTTTTATGGCAAACTCCTCCCATGCTCAGGGGTTTTCATGCTTTTAGCTATTACATCTGCAACTGAAGCTAACTGTGAAATTAGCAATTTATTCATCCCATGGTACATACATGCACATTTGCAACAGTAAAAGTGAGTAAGGGTCAATAGTGAACACTGTGAGTAAAAGTTAGAACCTTTTTTATCAGATTTTGTCATTCAGTATTTAACCAAATACCTGCAGAGATTCCCATATTGAAACATTTCCCTGTTCCTTCTTGTTGCTTATATCACTAATACTGTTAACACACTGCTGTTATTTCTAAACAACATAATATGAGCTCTGCCAAAAATAACAACTCAGGACAAAGGAAAGTTGACCTTAAAAATGGCTGCCTGAATTGCAAGGAAGCAGAAGATACCATTAAGAATAAAAAAGAACAATAAAGGCCTACAATTTGTAAACAGCTTTTGATTCTGTAACATTTAGTAAAAATAGGTCTCCTTAGGAATGCATGTACACATTAAGATATTTTTCAAGATTGTATCTTTACAAAAACTACATTAGAACTTGTAGTCTGTTTCTTGTATTTTGTCCTATTCTTAAAAATATATGAACACAAAGGGAAAAATCTCTCTTATGGAAATTAACTATTTCTGATTATTTAGCCACAGATTTGAAAGAAGAATAAATAGGATATAAAGTTGTTGCTAATCTTATTTGGAAGGTATCATTGACAAACAAAAAAACATACTAAAGGCATGTTAACAGTGATAAAATTATCTAGACCACTCTGTCTGTGTACATAATTACCAATAATTTATATTCATCCATCTGAAATCAAGATGTAATTATGCATTTTTCTATTTTATATTTGGACACCTCTGTAAAATAGAAATTTTAGTTTAGTGAACAATGAACATATAGATGTTCCTAAGAAAAGTGGAATCTGAGACATCAGAAAAAAAATACATTCTATCTCCCTCATTTATCCACAATCAATGGAATATAATAATCACCACTGTTTCTTAGCGATTTTGTGTGGAATTGAAGATAATAAGTAGATAAGAATTGAAATTTTCTTGCAAAAGCAACAGCAGTAATACCTGTAGACAATCCAATGTGTGAGCAATACTTTCTGAAAGTTTGGTGCGTGCCTCTTTCCTTTTCTAGTAATTTCTTTAAGGCTGGAATTTTTTAAAATTGTGCATTTGAATTAAACTAAGACTACTACTACCATATCTATAAAATGAGAACCTGAGTTACCTGTATGGCTGTGAGGATATTGGCTAACGCCTGGCCATACGTGTCATGACAGTGAACAGCAAGAGCACTCAGAGGAATTTCTTTCATAACAGCTTCCAACATTCTTTTCATACTTCCAGGAGTCCCCACACCAATTGTGTCCCCCAGAGAGATTTCATAACAGCCCATACTGTACAGCCGCTTAGATACCTGATTAGAAACAGAGAAACATGAAACGGTCAAGATGAAAGAATATAAAATAGGGTCAAGAACGTGTATTAAAAAGGACACGCTTCTGTACAGGTTTCAGGTTTTGATTCACCGAGGTGGACCTATGTATCAGAAATCCTCTATTCATTCTTGAAAATTGTCACCCAAGAAGAACACCCCATAGATCCTCTTATTTTAAATTTATAGTTCTGCTTCTGTACATGGAATAACCAACCAAGACAAATCCATCAAAAACTTGCTTTTTGACTCTCCCACAGAATCCAAATAAGCAAGATTTTACACTATGAATTAAGTTTCTGTCAAGCCCTTTCCCAACATTTTCCTCTCTCTGAGGATTTCCCAGCTGTTTGGTTTTCTCCATGTACTTTCCAGCTTACAAGTTGTGCAGGGTAAAGACCTGCCCTTTTGTTTGCTTATTACACTGAGCCAAGCACATGGCTGAACTAAGACAATAAATAATTAACAAGAAGCCTGATTTTGCTTTCTCTTGGCACTGAAAACATCAATGAAAACTGAAGTTTTAACATGTTGTACTTAATATTAATTTTGCTTGCTTTTTATGAGATCAAACATTAAAATACTAACAAAGCAAAACTAAATTAACATTCTAGTCCTTAAGTTTTAAATTTTTTCTTAATACCAAACAAAACCCTGTACATATAGTTCTTACTTATGTAAGTACACCCCTAAATGTTTCTGTAATTATGTCTTTGAGGAGTTCTTTGTGTGAGTAAGACATTTGAGGTCTGGCTTCATAATGTTTGTATGGAGAGAGACATACGCTCGGAAGCACAGTATTATACTTGCACCAAAAATATTGCTTTAGAAATTGAATGTAGGATCTTTCCATCTTAGTTTTGTTTAATTTATTTGGAAAGGGTTTCACCTTATTTTCACTTGCTGAGTATGTCTGTCCCCTTTAGCATTTCCCACTGTGCATCAGCAATCCCGAAAGGCCACTCCACTGGAATGGAATCCCAATCTGGAAATTAACTGTTTAGAAATGAAGAAATATGACCCTTTTCCAAGACATCTTCAGTTGCACTGCACTCTGCTGTTAAAGCAATTCCAGGACTTCATCAGTGGGATTGCTGTGAATACGTCTGAGGAAGCTGACAAAGTGCTGCACCAGCAGTCTCGGAAGTGCTGGATTAATATTGCTGTTCACTTAATTCAAAGAACAGCTGAAAAAGAACTTCAAGTAGTCTGAATCCTTCTGCTTAAAGCTTGGAAGTGCTATGACTATTGCAAAGGTAGTAAAACTCTTTGTGCTTTAAAGTCAAAGAGCCCCTGGTTCGCATCAACATAAATTCAATATATGCTTTACAAAAGGGACATGCACTAGATTGCAAAAAGATTCTATCTTGAAGCATATTTTAATATCATCAACACAGGGCAGGTGTTTTAACTGGACTACTGTTGTAAGAAAAAAAAAGATCATCTGCAATTAGTGGTACCTCTAGTTAATCCCCAAATTCAGTTTTTGTTTAAGATCAGGGTAAAAAAAGCAGACTGCATTTTTTTCTCATGTTCTTTTTCATTGATGATTCAAAGTTTTTCTAGATGAGCATTTTAGTGATGACAGAGACTATATAAACTGCTAGAAATCATGTTGCATTCACTTCTTTCCCATGCTCAGTCCTTAGGTCTTTCAGCTTCTGAAAATAAAGTTCTGAAAGATGAAAGAAGAGAGGGGGAAACTCTGCTAACAGGCTGAGCATCATCACTGACTTGTCATGATCTAACCTTAAGGTGACCCTTAAGAAGAGATCTATATTTAATTTCAAGAAGAATGTGCATGCTTGGAAGCTGAATGGGAGTTTTTCATATTGGATTTTCTATCCTACCATAGTAGGAGGCAGCCCATTAGTTACAGTTTTGTAAGTTTTCAATGTGGATTTTTGGGAGGAGGGTGGGGGAGAGAGAACACACTGTTTTGTCAGTGTAATCAGAATGTGATTACGAGCTTGCAGCTTTGTTGATTGAACAGGGTTGTGTTCTGCACAACTGAGCAGTTTTACTATGCATGAGTCTTGTGCTACTCCCTTTGGGAGCACTGCCCTGACACCAAGCATTGATCAAAATGGGAGTTGGTGACCCAGCACTGCAACCCCTTAGGCATGTGAACAATCCTACTGCTGGAAATAATATCTAAAACTATACTCTTAAACTCAATACAAAAGGTCATAATCAAGTTACAAATGATTTTAAGCAAATAACAACATAAAAATACACTGCAGTCCTTGTGCTGTAAGGGAAACTTAGTAATAATCCAACAGCATTCAAATAAGAACAGGCACATTTTCTGTAGCCTGATCAGCCTGTATGCTGGATAATACTTATATGAATTCACTGCTCTAGGTTAAAAGGAAGCTAAGGAGAGAAAGAAGCAGGCAGAAAGATAAAACCAGCCAAGTATATGACTGGAAGACAATGGGTAACACAACTGGCTTCAAGGATGTTATACGGTGCTTCCAGCAACTTTCAAGCCTTATTTGCCTAAGGTTGAAATTCACAAACCACAGGATGATAAACAAACCACAGGTGACTCCATTTCAAGAAAAAGCAGAGTGATAAAAAAGGACTATGCACTTTATTTTCATAGATGAGAAATGTTTTGGGTTTTTTTTAAATAAAGAGCCATATGGATGGACCAGATGGATTCTAGAAGTCTGAAGGCATCTGGAGTTTGCACTCACTAGATAACCACGTGCAAAACAGTTACGTACCTAGTAAGCCTGCATGTAGTCTAGTTAATGAGCCACCTCCCCTAATTGGTTTTGCTTCAGTTAAAAAATCTTTTGCTTAAAAAAAAAAACAAAACTGGTCACTGTCATTGACTGCAGAAGAAACGGTCTAAACCTTTCAATCATGGCTGCTGATTGCAACACAGAGTCAAGGGAGTCATACACTTCCATCCCGAGAAAGATGATGACCAGAGAGGCACCTCTCTGAAAGGGTTTAGCAACACGGCCAGTAATTTTGATAATTCTGATTCAGCACAGGATGAGTGCATGTGTTTATGTAAAATCCATTAACAGCTAATCAGATGCTTCTATATAAACATCAGTGCTTGCTGAATCAGGGCCTCAATAACTTTAACGAGGCAGCTTTTATTCTTAAATACACAATGGTGTACAGGTACACAAGAAGACTTATTGGGATGAAGACAGAAAATAAAATACCTGTGTGAGTAAAAGTTTGCAGGTTTGGAACATTAAGTAGCACTCTCACCAGCAAACTGAAAAGGAGCTCTTCTGTGCAAGGAGAGTAGTTAAAAAACAAGCAACACAAGGAAAGAAGCCTGTTAGGGAACATGACATTGCAGTAAGCAATCTACCAACAGCACAGCTGAATCTGTCATCACCGCTCTAACTAAGGCTGTGTCACTTCTAACTTTCACTTCATATTAAACCCAATTAATTTAGAAATACTGAGTACCTTCCAATTTAGCTATTTTTTTCAAAGACTGTGAGTATATGTGGCTGCTGTGGGAGAAGTATTATCACAAGTTCCATCTGGAACGTATACTAGAAGAAGATGCAGAAGAACAGGACCTGAAAGCCACACATGCAGAACACAATATATCAGACAAATGTTGACTAGCTGCTAACGCTACAAAAAAAAAAAGTGGTTTGGAGATTCTGCTAGATCACCAAAAGTAGGTGATTAAGTGTAGCGGAGAAGACAAGTCTTTGTCCAGGAGGAAGGCCAGCGTTTTCTGCCTTGTGCTCTTGAATTCTCTCCACTTTCTTCTCTACTGTCCATTTCAGCTTTCATGCCCTCTTTGCCTTCCTGCAAAATTTAACACTTGTGTTTCATTCATCTCTTTCTCTGCTGGAAAAAAAGGCTGGACTAAGACATCGTCTTTCTTCTCCTTTACCCTAAATGGGAAACAGGCCAGAGAGGGAAGGTGCGGGTTATTCCACCATAGCAGTAGAGCAAGTTAAGTAGTAGGAAATCATGCTGGGGATGAGTTTTGGTTCATGTGTCAATCACATGACGCTTTCCACAAGCACGATGTAGCAGCGGCTCTAGTGGCTGACAGCACAGTATGGTTATGCCAGCATAAAATGGATTTAAAAGCAGATGCCCTTTGCAAGAGGTTGTGCTGGAAATCATCTCGTACAACATGGTCCACTGACATATGTGCTTGAGTCTATTTCCTTAAGCACTTCCCTACCTTCTTGTTGGAGGAAATAACGCATAATATTTTTACTCATGACTGATAACAGTCAAAACATACTATTTTCCTTAGATTTGACTGCATATGATTGAGTGAGGTTATGCACCCAGTTTTAGTATTAGCTATGTTTTGTGTTTGTTTTCCTTAAATTTTATCCATTAAAGATCTTTTTAGGATTAAGTAGAGAACATTACTTATAGACATTTTAAAATGTATTTTTGATTCACTAAAAAGGCAAGCCAGAGTTCACTCTTACTTCTGCCACTTTAGCTGGTATGATGTTTCCTTCATACGGGCATCCCAATGCACATGACACATACCTGTAATAAAAAGAACACACAGAGATACTTCTGTTTTATATATGCGTCTTTCTATCCATCCACGTTACATAAAAAAAAGGTTAAATATAATTTTGAATATTTAAGCCAGCCAATGTAGAATAAGTATTTGAATGAAAAGTTAAAATTACATCAGATAAAAACAGCAGGTTTATCAATTTTCTTCTTAAATCACAGAACAGAGATTTATAGCTTTATTTATGTTCAAGGTATGTATGTCACACGTTGTAATGGACTGGCAATGCAGCCAAGCTAATGCTGCTGAAGGAGACTTCAATTTTTCGTGGTATTTCCTTCCGAAGTTTTAAGAGCAAGTTCAAGTTTTGCCTTGCCTGGCCTACACAAGGTATTCAGAGGAAGATATAATTTTCTTCCTTGTGCCAGCTACCTGGATCATAGAGAGCAACACGTGGACACAAGCAACTTATAACAACCCCACCATCTCATAAGTCATTAGAATTGTGGTGAATGGGGTAGCTTTCACCCTCTATCTCTGTACTGGCATTTCTGTCCCAGTGCCCCAGAAGAATTATAGCTCCATTGCAAGCTGTAGTTTAGGTATGCCTTGGGACAAGAAGAAACTGAGAAGCCAGCCTGTGTCTCTCAGCAGCTATCAGCTCCACAAAGCACAAAAACTGAAAGCCACAACCAAGCCTCCATTGTTCAGTCTCAATGCTGTGTTAACATAGAATTTGGTTTAAATTTCTTTTTTTTAATCACAATTAAGAGCCATGAAATTCCAATTAAACTTCTAATTGTTTATCTTAAATTGTTTAGGAATAGGATTAAACTAACCAGAAACAGCCATTCGAAATCACAATAAGTGTGGCTGTAGAGGGATTTACAACAGATTCAGAGGCAGGCAGAGCCCCAGCCACAGTGGGAGGTTGCTCAACTGCTTAATAGAAGAACAAGAGCCTTCATCGATCCCCCATCATTCCCTTTCCCTCAACACGGAAGGGTATAATGTAAAATTATACACTGTATAATGCGAACGGGATTGAACAGATGCCAGTTTGTAGGTAGTCAAGGTCTGTAGGGTAAAGGATGTATTATTTCTTTGCAGCTGAAGGACAAACTGATTGTTAGAATGTGAAATTAGGATGAGTAACAGGCAAAAACAAATTGTGAAAAAAATGTGAACATTTTACTGAATACAACATATTCCATCCCTTATATGAAGGTATGGTGTTGGCACACTGGAAGTAGCAGTAAGAATGAAGCAAACCTTGAACCTAAAAAGAACTTTGATTAGCCCTGACAAAGAAATGGAAATGGATTTTGTTTCCACAAAAGTGGTTGGGTCCATTACATCCTGCTCATAATTTTAGTCCAGATGCCTACTAGGCATGATTTCAATTATCTGTATGTCATTATAAAAACCAGGTTTTTGAAACTTGGCCATAGACTTCATTAAATATCACCCCCAATTTGCATGTCACTGTTTAAGAACATTTAGAATTCTCAAACTTATCTACATTAAAGATAAAAAAGTAGCTACTGTTAACAGTTAAACACTGCCCTGCTTTTCAGTGACACAACTGAAAAACAATTCAGGATAATTTCCTTGAATTTTTTTATGCATACACAGTTTTTCAAATGAAACCAAGCGTGAAAAATTTCAGACCCAAAGGATTGCTTTTTACGTAATACTACGGTGCCTAGAGCTAGTGACTACACAGACTTTTACTGAAATTATTTTGCAACATCAGCCACAGCACTTACTATGAAGTGAGCAAGAACAGTACTAAATACAAAGTAAATGCAAAACATACAGTACATATGTGCACGTTCCCTTTAATTACATATATCTTTACATGTTCCTAACAGCTACATATGTTAGATCAAGAAGACGTGCATTTGGTAGTGATAATGTGGCATGAATGACATCTGGAATGGAGTAGGGCAAACAAAAGTAAAAGCAGGCCAAAAGGTATCTAGAGAACAAGGGAATACTCCCTGTGGTTCACACCAGCGAGCAGAAACTCGCCTGAGCTCACATAATTCAGCTGGGCCTGCTGGGGTATGAAAGTATGTGGTGACCTGAGGAATCTGCCTACTACAATGTACAAATCTGTTTGAGATTATGAACTCTCTGCATGCTTACACCATTGCGACTAGACTGACATTTTAAACAAGGAAAATATGACAGATTTAATCTATCTGGGCATCTGATATTCAATATTAAACTGGAGAAAATAGGGATTACTGAAAGAATTTGACAGGTAAGGAACTTCCTACCAGAGACAGAACAAAGTCCTGTGGAGAATGAAAGAACTGTTTTTCAGTAGAGTTCATCAAGGATGAGCTTGGCAGAATTTTATCTAATATTTTCATTTAATGAATTGGCATAAAAAGTAGAGACGTGGTGATAACATTAAATTTCTTGGTACTGTCAATACCAAAAAAAGTACTGGGATTCCATGCAGAAAGGACAGGAGCAATAGAAATGAGACTCAGTTGATGGCAATGACAAAGAAAGTGAAATGCTTAAAACGAGGCCGTAAAAGAGTAAAATGCTCTCCAAACGTATATCAGGATAAGCATTTTTAATAGAGGACATAAAATATCAATTCCATTTGACAAGGTCTTGCTATATTCTTATTGGAAGTAAGAGATACAATTTGAGTAATCTGTAGAAAAAGCAATGCAAGCTGGAACAGATGCGAGCAAGAGCTGAGTACAGCTAGCAGGGGTAGAGAGAGCCTTGCATATGAAAGGAGAAAATATGCACGTCTATGTGAAAAAGGGAAGATAATCCCTCTGAGCATTTGCCAAGACATCTAGACTTAAGGCAGCGCCGGGTGGGATGCTTTGTAATTGCATTTGTGTGGTTCCAAATTAATACGCTTAAGTGAGAGGAAATAGGTTTCAATAGAAAGGTAGATCTGTTATCTACAGATATGTTTGGCTGTTACATTTTCTTTTTTGTGTATGAAATAACCCATAAGGCATTAAAAGCACAAGAAAATCCAGCCAAAGCAGAGCCACAAGACCTCCACCCATACCCCTCCAAAATGGGAGACAATTTTGAAAAACATGCTGAAGAACTGCTTAGAAAGAAAAAAATTAACAAGACAGAGCCACAGAAAGCCACAAAAACACAAGTTTAAAGAAGAGTCTGGTCAACTGCAGCAAACACTACTGACAAGTCAAGAAGAATGAGGATAGACTACTGTTTCTGAGATCTTGTCATCAGGGAGTTTGGTGAGAGCTGTTGCAGTTGCAAGCAAGGAACAGAAGCCAAAGTGTAGGAGTTCTAGGAGGGAATCACAGAAGAGGGTCTCCAGACAGTAATTATAAACAGCGCCTTCAATGAGTTTAGGAATGAAGAAGAGATAGGCGATGAGATATGATATGAAGAACCAAGTAGGGTCAAAGGTGCAATTTTTAAGAGGCAAATGCTTGCTTATATTGCAGTGGAAAAGAGCCAGAGGACAGTGAGAGGTTAAGAAAGAGAATAAGGGAGGGGAGAAATAAGAGGAAGAACAGAACATGGGGTCACTGGGGCAAGTGGAAGGGGTACAGATGGAAAGTAGACAAGAAACTCCTGCTGCTCTGACAGTGGAGGAGAAAGAGAAAGGATTAGGGGAGGGGAGGGAGAAGAGAGTGACAGAAGGAAGAGTATACTGTATCTATTTTTCCTTAGGAGAAAAAGCAAGATCCTATGTGAAGAAAAGCAGCAGAGGGAAAAAGAGAGAAGAGTTTGAGCAATGAGTTAGAGAGGCAACTGGGATTTAATTTGGGGATTCAATTAAGTTGGAGAATACAGCTGTTTTCTAAAAAGATGGCAGAACTGAAAGAAAAAAAGCCTTTATAATGAAAAAGACTGTCTTGGTCTAGGATATTCACCAGAGACACTCCACAGTATAAGAGCAGAAGCAAATATCTGGGAGTTCACACAGCAGACTCTGCAATGGAAGTGTTTAATTCTAAGTATGTGCTTAAATCTTTGCTGAATCAAGGCCAGACTTTTTAGTAGCTTAACTATGTCTTTAGCATGCAATCAAGAAATGCGTCCATGCAACCAGAGGTAGAAAGAAGGACCAGCAGTAAGTGAACGTATCTATACAGCTGCTTTAGGAACACATGGGTAAATGCTGTTTTGCTCACTCAGGTTCTGTGAAATCAGAATTCCCCCCTTTAATAAAAAGTGATAAAAAGAAGTTCTCTACTTGTTTCACCTGGCAGAGTTTACCCAGTCTCTTGCCTGTTCTACAGATTTCACTGCAGGTGAGTATCATTTGGTCTTCTCCTAAATTGTTTTCTATGCATATAAAAACAATCAAAAAAATGAACCCCAACAACTTTACTGTGTAATATTTTGGACAAAAATGATGAACAGCCTTTGGGGACGGGGAGGGTGAAGGAAGAGGAAGAGAGTTTTCATTTTCTTCCAGTAAGCCAAAACCAAATTGCAATGTTCCACAAACGGTACAGACAGTATAAGGTCCCCACGATCAAGGTCACTAGGAATGGTGATAATCACCACATCAGCCCAATGGCTGTGAAGTGCAGGATATAAAACCACAAACAGGGTAAATGAGCAAACTTCTCATAACCAAAGTGTGTTAAAAGGAAAATGAATCCAAGCAGAAACTGAACTCCATGTTGTAATCAGCCCTTTGTCAGCTTGTTTCAGCAAGAGTTCCAGAGCCAGATCCACAGCTGCTGCCACAGCTGGAAGCACAGAGCCTCCTGAGAAGCCAGTTGCAGATTCAGATGCTGCTGTTTCCTGTTTATTATTATAGTGTAAGTTCGCATATAATTTACCATGTTCACTGCAGATGTATTTATTTTTATTGGACGTTCGTGCTAAAATGTATATGCCTATCATTTGGTGAATTCATAATATTAAGGTTGATATATTCTGTCTCTTTGCAAAGGAAGCCATTTGTTAAAAACAGGCAATCTTTACTGTAAGGAGACAGGAAATACAAAGAAGAGAAGAGGGAAAGGAGATTCTTCCAGAAACAGAATTTCCAAGCCAAGCCCAAAATGTGTAAATAAGGCCAGGATTTTTTTTCTACATTTGATTTAAAAAAAAAAAAACAAAAAACCACCTCTCCATGTATTTAGTGCCCAGTTGCGAGTAACATATATGCTATTCAAAGTGAATCCTATAGTAATAATATCTGTTATTATTTTTAGAATGCCCAGAAAACACTGTTAAATTGTGAACTATGTTCTAGAAAATAACTTCTTCTCTAAAAACAGAACAAAATTGTTACTATAATGAAGGGCCACTTAACCACTTAACTTTTAATAACTATATCGAATTATCCATGGAGCAATCAGTAACATACTAGCAAACACATTGTATTGTTACCTCATAATTTCATACTAACATTTCAAGTCTGATTTTACACTACCCTTTAAGAAGAAACAGGGATCATTTTTACTTCCCACGGGTATCCCTCTTTTTTTTTTTCTAAAAAAAGCAGCTCTTCTGGCCTAATAATATTTTCTATCTGCAGGCACAAAAAAATGGGTAAGAGTTGGTATAAAGTTATTCCTAAGGAAAATGTCTCCTCTTACACAGTGCAATCATCCTGTATGATAAAGTCAGTACAATGGCTCCCACATCCTTTTCTTAACCTGTTCCCAATACAGAGAAATGCACCAAGTCCCCACATCGCAGCAATCTCCAGCTTCTCAAGCTTCTCCAGGGGACTGTGACCAGCTGGCTTAATACTGTATAACCCTGTAGATTTGTTTACCATTTGCATACTATGTTGCTGCATACTGCATACTGCAAAATGTGTTGCTTCCAAGTCTATTAAATGTTCATCTACATTTTGTTGTTCCCATAATCTCAAATACAGGCTCACTTATAGTGACATGAAGGTGTTAAATTGTTTTTACTATCTAAAGAAGTGATAATGGTATAAATCACCCTATTATCAATATAATTGTGACTACGCTAAACTACACAGTGTAGTCTAAAAATGGGGGTTTAAAGCAATGCAAAAAACCATGTGTACTCGAGCCCAAAGTATTCCAGAATACCAGAAAACATGAGTTCAAAGTTTCTGTCTGTATTCGTAAAGCATACGCAGCTTTAAACTATTGATTTGTGCAAAACTGAATTGTTGGTACTTCTAATTAGGTATATAAAATACAGTATTATAAGGCCATCCAAATATCTTGAATTAAGGTATTTAAGATGAACTGTAATAAAAGAAAAAAAGAGCATTATTGAACTGAATTATAAAGATCAGATTATCTTGATAACCAGAATTTTCAGACAATCAGGATGTTTCTTTATAAACAAAACAGACTTCATTATTAGTTTCTGGAATTACTTGTTATAAAGTATGTTAAAATAAAACTGATGTGTTCTTCCACATGTATTTTTTTTCAAAATAAATCCAAATATCACTAGCACAAGATAAAGATAACTAAAATGAATTCTTTCTCTTTAAGCTTCCACTATTTTGTGTCTGACCTTGTGTATTAGCATCAAAGTAAAACAATAATTACTTCCTATAATCAAGAAGGAATTATATATGTTGTAACCTGTAACCTTCATTATAACGTAATATAAAAGGTAATAATAATAATGTTGCACACAATCGTTTGTTTGGTATCTATCTGTCATAGAAAAAAAATATTGCCACATTTCAAGTATGTCAACCAGTATTTGAATTCTATACAAAGACAGATACAAGCCAAATATTGACAAATTTCAATATGCTTTTATGTATTGTGAAGTTCACCAACTGCTCATTCTTAAAAGACATAGGACTATAAACAAAGGAATTATATACACCAGTTTAGAATTAATGTGTGATTACATATGCTTTAATTTATGAAGCAGCAGCTTTGTAAGGAAATGCTTCTAGAGTTATTTTACAGCAAACATTTGCATCTGTTTTTCTAACACTGAACCTCTAAATATTTGCATACACACTCACATTTGCACATGCGAATAGTCCAAATGGCCTAAAAAAGGGCTATTCACATCAAAATTTTTCAGGACTGGGACATACGGTTCGACTTGATGACCTTAAAGGTCTTTCCCAACCTAAATGATTCTATGATTCTATAAATACATTTTTTAATTGCTGGTCATGGAGAAGTGTTTTTTAGTAGAGAAAAAAAAATTACAA